GAGAGAGAGAGAGAGAGAGAGAGAGAGAGAGAGAGAGAGAGAGAGAGAGACTCTATTATATAGCTCTGGTTGTTCTGAAACACACTATGTAGACCAATCTGTCCTTGAACTCATAAAGATTGGCTTGCCTCTGCCTCCTGAGTTCTGGGATTAAAGGCACATGCCACCATGCCCAGCTGTCCTGATTCTTTTAAACAGGATACTGCTTTGGGCAGTGATGGGGCTCAGAAAATGATTCCCCAAAGCACACTACCATGGCCTGCTGGGCACTCTGAGCTGAATGTTCCTAGAAGTCCTCAAAAGCAAAGCCTTGTCATTTTTCTTCTCCTTCCCTTTGCACCTCAAGGCTGGTCATGGAAACTAGAATTCCAGGCTGGGGAGATGGTTGGTTTGGTAAGGTGCTGTCCTTGCAAGCTTGAGGACCTGAGTTGTGTCCCCAGAACTCATGTAAAACCAATGCTGGGTGTGGTGGTGCATGCTTGCATCCTGGCTCTGAAGAGTTGGAGACAGGCAGATCCCCAGGACCCACAGGCCAGCCAGCCTAAGCAGAATAGGTGAGCTCCAAGTTGAGAGAGAGACACTATCACAAAATATGTGGCAGACGGTATCTGAGGAACAACACTTGAAGTTAACCTCTGACCTCCAAATATGTGCACATACATGTGCATATGAACCCAAACACATACCAGTGTACACACACACACACACACACACACACTTAAAAAATCCCAAATGTAAAAAAAAAAATAGGAAAGAAACTTCGACCCTCCTACCTCAAAGATAACCATAACCCCAAGGATTATTGTTTTGCACCCCCCCCCCCCGCCAAGTGAGAGAAACTCTCTGACTGCCCTTATCTAATGGTGAGTCAATCAAAAGACCTCATCCCAGAAGGGGGCCTGTGCCACACTCAACACATCCATGTCTTTTATGGAACACTAAGGCTCAGAGCAGACAGGTCTCGCTGAGTCTCTCTGCTTCATTCGTCTCTTATCTAATCTCATCTCCACAGGGATATGCATTTTTCATTGAATCTGAGCATAAAAATAGCTCCCCTTGGCTTTTGGGTCTTTATTTCTGAAGCCTTCCACATCACATAGGATGGAATCTCTCTCTTCACTGCTCTTCTCCCTCCCTCCCTTCCTCCCTCTCTCCCCCTCCTACTTCTTTCTTTCTCCTCTTTCCTCTCCCTCTTCCCCTCCTTTCATTTCACCTCTTCTTTCTTCCTCCCAACTGTCTAATTGTTGGCTTTACTAATTTTTGAGATGGAATCTCATGTATGCCAGGCTGTACTCAAACTCCCTATGTATCTGAAGATGGAGACAACATCCAACTTAACGATCCTTCCTCCACCTTCCAAGTGCTGGGATTTCAGTCATTCATTCCCATGTCTGGTTAGACAGTGCTATGGATGGAACCTGGGGCTTCATGCATGCTAGGCAAGCACTCTACTGAGTGAGCAACATCTCTAACCCATTGCATAGATCTTTGTTATAATACATTTGCTATATGTTTTTATGTCGTTTTTCTCATGTTAACCTGTCTTGTAGGTGTGTCAGCCATGAGCATAATGATAGGAAGAATAATCTCCTATCCTTTCTGCTCCAATAGTGGTGGTCAGTCAGATACAGGAATGGTGATCATGTGTGGTACATCTCATGCTGTGACATTTTACAAATGGTGCCTAAGTTCTACCTTCCTGTTCACCATTGTCTACAGGTAGTGTGATGAGGCCGCCCTGTCTCTGAAAGATACGTTCTGAAACCAGAGCTGGCACAGTTGACTTTACTTGTGTAAGATACACGACTGATATTTTGAGTCGCTGGTAACTAAGAAAGAGTATATACACACATCACCATCTTTGTCTTCCTCCTCCTTTTGGGTTTTCGGAGACAGAGCTTCTCTCTGTGTATCCCTGACTGTCTTGGACTCTCCTTGTAGATCAGGCTGGCCTTGAACTCAGAGAACTGCCTCCAAAGTGTTGGGATTAAAGACATGTACCACCACTGCCTGGCTACAATTTTATTATTTTTAAAATACTATTATTCTTATTATTATTATTTATGGTATGTGTATATGTCTGCATATGAGGAGGACAGGAGGGCATCAGCTTCCCTGGGGCTGGAGTTACAGGCAATTGGGAACTGCTTGACATGAGTGACGGGAATCAAACTTGGGTCCTCTGCAAGAGCAGTGTGTGCTCTAACCATCTCTCCAGCCCCTACAATTTTATTTTCAAAGGATAAGAAAGAATTATAAACCAACCCGGAGATGTGTCCGTGGGCATTGCTGGTGAGTTATCAGACTTTGTCAAGGACTCCTTGTGTGCAAAGTGTAGGAAATAAACCCTGTCGTACTTGAAACCTGCCTAGGAAGGTAGATCTGGCTTTAACAATCTCACTGTCCTTTCAGATTCGGATAGTATGTGTATGTGTGTGTACATGCATCGGTGGGTGTAGTTTGTTCAGAAGTCTTTCCTTGGGAGTGCTATACACCTTGAGACAGAGTCTCTCATTGGCCTAGTACTCATCAAGCAGGGTATGCTGGCTGGCTAGTGAGCCCCAGGGATGCGCTCGTCCCTGTTTCTGAAGTGCTAGGGTTACAAGTATGTGTTACTATGCCCATCTATTCTACGAGGACTCTGGGGACTCAAACTCAGGTCCTCATATTTGTTTGTCATGCAGTTTGTTAAAATGAACTCTCTCCCTAGATCCCTGAGAAAGCTTTAAATTTTTAATTAATTGATTGGTTAATGAGTTATTTGCTTAATGTGTGCTTTAGTACAAAGGAAAGAGAAAACATGCTGTATAATCTGGGCCCTGATGGCTACTGGTTGCCTAAGGGTCTAGAGAGAGCATTTGTGTAGTCTCAGATTCCTTGGTTTCTATAAACCCCACACTGCTATTGGGTCTGTACTAGTGGATCAGTGCTCACGGCTAGGGAGCCCACACATCTAATTAGTTACTACAGCTTTTTCCTAATGAAGGGTTTTGTTGGGATGAGAACATTCTATTGAGCCAAGTGGCTTCGTGCAGAGGAGGAAGATTGGCATGGTGTGACCTCAGGAAGTGGTGAGGTGTGTGGAGGAGCCCTTCTAACTTGGAGAACTTCTGTTCTCTCTGTGGAAACACTTATCTGATACTGCCGGGGCCTGTGACTTTATAAGGAACGAGAGAACACTTGATAATTTTGTTTGTGTTGTTTTGTTTTTGATGTGTAGTCTCCTAGTTGTAGAAACGTTGTGTGGGCCAAACAAAACACATCTCGGCTCACAGGCTGTGGGTTTGCAATCTTTGGATGAGATGCCGCAGCTCTGGCTGTGCCTTCTGTTGTATGAAAATGCCTTACTGCCTCTCCTCTCTGTCTCTATCAGGCTTACTAGAAAGCAGCACCCGGCTGAAACCTCACGAAGCCCAGAACTACAGGAAGAAGGCCTTGTGGGTATCCTGGTTCTCCATTATTGTCACCCTGGCCCTGGCAGTGGCTGCCTTCAGTGAGTATCAGGAAGTCTCGCCAATCAATACTCGCAAGTTGCCTGTCTTTCCCTCTAACCCCTGTGGGATGTGCTTTGCTTTTAGTTGACTGTTATTGATGAGTAAAATTTTTTTTTAGATGGTTGGATAATCAGGGTCCTCATGAATTAGTAAAATGGCTTCATTCCTCTGCAGAGGGAAGAGGTATGAGAAAGGAGAGGAGGGGAATAACTGAGAGCTTTGGTCTCATCAGTATGCAGGTTTGTGGAAGTGGATTCTGGCTGGCACCAGCCGAACAGTGAAAATAGTCTCTTGGCAGATGCCTTCAGCTCGGGCTGACATGACAAATACGCATCCCGGAGATTTGGATTTTGAGTTTAATGCAACTCGATGAGTGCAGTATTGCAGGAAGCTCTCTCCTTTCCCTCTCGACTGGGGCTCGTGCAAGGTCAGGAATGAAATCACATGTACGATTTTGATGAAAGAAAAATGGGAAGGCCTTCTTTCAGGGTTTTAGGGCATGAAGAGAAAATAATTTCCTACAATTCTGAGATGCCATGAGAACGGAACAACTTCTGTCTGTAGATGATTTTGTGTGGGAATCCGGAATTTCTGTGGTGGCTTTTCTCCACTGACACGCATGTGTCTATTCTTATTAATTGTGCAATGATTCACAAGTCTAAGCCCTGAGCTGCAGCTCAACCTTGATAGGAATTGTGCTTTTTTATTTTTATTTTTGGATTCTCTCTCTCTTTTTTTAATGGCGGGAACAAGGCACCGTGTTTAAAATTTTGTGATGGAGAGAAAGATCTGTGCTCTCTGTGCTAAGCATCCTACAAGGTGCTTCAGGAGAGGAGAGAAAAGACCATGGTCATTAGGCGGCATGGCTGTGTGCAAGTTGTTTAAAATTCTCTTCTGCTGCCTTTGATGGTTCTGCTGGAAGTTGGGGCCGGGTCCCAAGGGGGCAGGAATTAGAATTTGACCAAATGCTCCCTTCAAAACTCAGCATATATTATTAGAGACAATTTATACTGGAAACAGTGTACAATAGTCTGGCTCTAAAATAACCAAATATTCAGAATACTGAAATAATATATTTCAGGGAATAAACATTTATCAGTGAGCCAGGAATCTAATCAGGAAGAACTCTGATTTTTGAAAGTATAATAAAAAGCTTCTCTTTCCCCTCGCCTCCTCTTTTTTAATCCTGAGACCAAAATAACAAGGCAATGAATGCCCCTTGAGGGCAATTTGGTTGTTGTGGCTGGTAGGGGCACCGGAGATCAGACATGGTAATTTACATATGTGAAGAAAGAGGAATGAAATGAAGGGGGGGGGTGATTTACAGACAGAATAATGGCTCCTTAGGCGTGTCCCCGTGCCCTATAAAGCTGTTAGGGCAGCAGCCTCCTCTGAGTGTTTGAATAAGGACCCGAGTATGATGTTGTGAATGCATCTTCCTTTTGGAAAAACAGTGTTACATTTCATGTGCTTAAGTCATGCAATAGGGAAGGAATAGGAGGAAAACTTGGCTTCACTTGTAATTACCCAGCCAGGTGAATTATTCCAGAAACGTTCCATTACTTTTGATGGAAAAAGTCTCCATGAGGCCAGGTCACAGGCTTAGGGAAGAGTTTCTTTTTGAAAGCCATCGCTCTCCTTTATCGTCGAATTAGTTAACTTAAATCCTTTAACTTCCCTTTTAAAGAGTCGCTTTAACTGATTATCTATGTGTATGCATGTGATTGCCGGTGCACGTTCTGCACATCCCAGGGGGCCTGAAGAGGGTGTGGAACCTCCTGCAGCTGGAGGTCAGTTGTGCGACAGGAATATTGGGGGCCAAGCTCAACTCCTTTGCAAGAGCATATAGTGTTCTTAATGGCTGGCCATCTCTCCAGTCTCTTTCACTTCTTGCCTCTAAGATGTGGCTGCTGCTGTGTTGTCTATTATGACCTGTTATGTTCTATATGCCTTTCATTTCACTTGTGAGCTGCTTCTAACTGCTTCTGATTTAGTTAAACCCTAAAGCATAGATGATAAATCATATTTTGCCCCATTTAAACTACAGTGACTTTGGTGTATGTGTGTGTGTATGCGCGCACATGCTCACATGTGCATGCATAGGGGTATATGCCTATGCGTGCTGCAAGTCCTTGCGATTCCCATCACAGCCCTCCACTGTACTTGAAGCTACCCTTAGCTTCCGATGTAGGTGCTGGGGATTCAAACTCAGATCCTCATGCTCACACAGCAAGCACTGTGTTGACTGAGCCATCTCCCCTAGGAACTCGATCTGATAATACTTGGTGAGGTAATGATTTGGACAAGCTGGAGCATCTATATGAAACTATGGTAATGCATTTTGGAATATTTCAGAGGGAAGTCCTAGTTTGGTTTTAAAATAGATTCAGTATATAATGGGTAGGCAGTGTAGAAAATAGCAGCAATCTTCTTATGAACGAATGTGAAAACAGGTCTGTTGTAATAATGAGGCCAGAGAGAGGAAAAAAGTTCAGCTTCAAAAACTCAGAGTTCTGCCAACATTGATGTCTTTGTCAAGTTGATCGGGGAAAATGTATTCTGACTTTGGTTTTGAGATTTGAGTACATTAATTTTTAGGGACTGGATACTTGCTTGGTTCTGTGGGAAATGAAGATATGTTGGAAACAGTTTCAAGGGAAAAGAATCATTTTCTAAGGTGGTGTCTTAGTTTCTTTTTGCGGAGGCAATCAAATACTCTGACCAAATCAATTTAAGGGAGAAAGGGTTATTTTGACTGCTGGTTCCAGGGTATGGCCCATCATGGGAGTAAAGTCACAGTGGCAGGAACTTAGGGTAGCTGGTCTCGTTGCATCCACAGTCAAGAATCGAGACCAAGATTCCTGCTTAGTTCCTTTTCTCCAGTTTATTCAATGTAGTGTCCCTACCAAGGGAATGATGGCACCCACAGTGGGCAGGTCTTCCCACTTCAGTTAACAAAATCAAGATAATCCCTCACAGGCAAGTCCAGAGGCTGGTCTCCCAGGTGAATCTAGATTCTCTCAAGTTGACAATTAACACCAACCACACAGCAGATACACAGCTCCATTAAAACAAAATAACAACCTCAAACTAAATAACAAAGCCCCTTAAACTAAAAGTACTCCAAACCAAGATCTCGGAACCTGAATCTGACCTCCCAGGACCCATGTTAAAAAAAAAAAAATCAAACAAATAAGCAATTTGGGTATGGTGGTGCACACTTGTTGGGGAGGTGGAGGCAGGGAGACTCTTGGGGCGCCTTGGCTGACCAGCCTAGTCTAATTGGTGAGATTCAGGCTAGCGAAAGACTTTGTCACAAAAACCAAACTGGAGCCAGGCGGTGGTGCATCCATTTAACCCCAGCATTTGGGAGACGGAGGAAAGTGGATCTCTGTGAGTTTGCTTCCAGTCTGGCCTACACAGGCCAGCCAAAGCTACATAGTGAGACCCTTTTCTCAAAACACACAAAAAGGTGCTTGGGAAATGACATCTGAGGTTGTTCTGTGTTCTTCACACATAGGCACATATGTGCTTCTATACACACGTGTTCTATCACACATACAGGCACACACAACATGGAAGTGCATTAGGCGACTTCAGAACTAGGAAAGCAAACCTCCGAAAGGAGTGGTTTTTTTTTTTTATACACGGGAATTTTTTTTTTTTAAATTGTGCCTACATATATGTCTGTATACCATGTGCATGCCTGGGGCCCAAGGCCAGAAGAAGGTATTGGATCCCTTGGAGCTGGAGTTACAGGGAGTTGTGAGCTACCATGTGGGTGCTGGGAATTGAACCCCAGTCCTCTGGAAGAGCAGCCAGTGCTCTTAATCACTAAGCCATCTCTCCAGCCCCCCTATGTGGGAATTTTAATATTTGATTAAGTTTAAATTTTTGACCTTTAAGTATGATAATATAATATGTATGTGTCTTCTTAGAAAGTTTTTCCATTTATTGTATCATTTTTATGCATGTGTGTGTCATGTGTGGAAGCCAGAGGGCAACTTTAAGATGTCCACTCTCTTCTCCCACCATGTGGGTCCAAGGAACTGAACCCAGGTCCTCAGGCCTGGTGGCAAGTCCCTGTCAGCTGAGCTGTCCTGAAGCCCTCATCCTTTTTATTTCTATACCCTGAGGGTAACAGAAGTGAGATAGATAAGGTAGGATCACATGGTTGTCTGCATTAGTAGAGAAGTCTGGGTACTTCCCAAGGTGTCCCCTTACCTCAGTGGATACATGATCAGATAGAGAAGAACCAAGGCAGCTTCCAGGACAGGTGACACACATCTGCATCCCTAGCACTTTAGGATGAAGCAGGAGGATTGAAAGTTTGAGGTCAGCCAATGCTACATAAGGGAGACCTTGTCTCAACAACAACAACAACAAAAAGATAGAAAAGAAAAGTAAGACATAAATAAAGAAAGAAAGAAAAAAAGAAAGAAAGAAGGCGACTGAGAGTCCTTACATGCCCTCTGCTTGCTACTTTTGATCCATACGTTGTCTTCTCCTCGCTGGTCTTCTGAACGGTGTGAGTTTCTTCCCAGAGCAACCTCCAAGTGGAGCATTTGCCTGCTGCTGACCTGGGCCACAGGGCAGCTCAGGGGGATGTGGGCAGGAAGTCTTGAGCCACATCCTGGGGTTGCTGGGGGAATAACTTTTCCCTGTCAATGTGTTCTGTGAGTAATAACTATAGAGGCTGCTTCAGGGCGGTGGAAGCGGAAGTCAGAACCAGACAGAAACTGGCTTTGGGAACTTGGCCCTCAAAACTTCCCGCCTCTGGGCTCTTCCTTCCTAGCCTCGTGGTCCTGTCCTCAGAGATGCTCATGTTACCCTCCGAGCTGCTGGCCCTGGAAGCTCAGGAACACAGAGCAGCGTTTTAGTCTGACCGTGTCCCGTGAGGCCTGCTATGACCTTACTCTTGGTTCCTGGACTTTGCCCATCCCCCAGCTTACAGCGATTGCAGTCCATAGATGCTGCTGTGGTCCCCAGGTGCTGCTGC